TAAATTAAATGATTCAGGTCTTGAGAAATAATGCTTAAGAAAGAGGTAGAAGATTTGAAAATGGCTAGGAAGAAAGTTAAAAATGAATCTAGACCAAAATCTACTTCTAGGATTAAATACTATGGATCACCTAGAAATAACCTAAGTCGTTCTAGGAATTCTAAGTTTGATAGGCAACCTAGAAAGCACACCACACGTCCTAGGCACATGAACAACCCTATTGTAAGGTGTCATTAATGTAATAAAGTAGGACACATCACACCAGTTTGTTACACTATGTATAGGCACTTGCTTCTAAATCAAGATAATGTGATGCATTGATCATATGATTATTATTATTTCCATAACATCCTTGGACGCAAAAAGCATTGGGTACCAAGAATTACCTCTTAGATTCCTTGATGAAAATGTACTTGAAGACTTCGACTTGAGTTGAAGTAGATACACCAAGCACATAATTGGATGAAGCATCCATTAAGGGGGAAGTTAAATTCTTTTCTTATATTGATTTGAGCTTATCATATCTTAACATTTTTTTAATAATTGGTATCAATAGTTGGACAATGTGATATTATTTGCTTGTTTGATATCAATTTTGGTGAGCACATATCTTTTTGCCCATCTCTTTTTGATAGTGTTAAAAGGGGGAAGGTTGTGTAGATATGCATATGTTTAGGGGGAATTTTATTTGTACATATCTTAAGGGGGAAGATATTATAGACTTTTATGTCTTTGTGTTATATGATGCAATACTTGGGTTTGTCATTATATAAAAGGGGAAATTGTTAGACAATGTGCTATCATGAATATATATATTTGCAATGTCCTTTTCCCATTGTCTTTTAGGTTTTGATAATGACAAAAAGGTGACAAAAGATCACCATCATATTGTGCATCAATGCTAAGAATCAAAGCTACAACAAGTTCATATCCGCCCGTGAAGAAGGGACTTGAGCATCGGTAGAAGGATTGAGACCAAAGACGTTGTTACCTTGGTTGGGTAGTCTTTTTGGTCTTAGAATGTGTGTTAAAGAGTATGGAGTCTCTAAGGTTTATTCCTTGATAATCCTACCTTCAAAACACCTTTTAGACCAGCCTTTGTGTGGAGAAGTTGCTCTTCTATTCGAATAATCTTTGGCTTATTCGAATAAGTCTGGAACTTCTGAGTCGGGTAGAACATGCTGATTTATTCGAATAAATCCATTCTTATTCAAATGTCAATGTTTTTCTCGCTTTGGATTTGTTCTGAAAAATTCGAATAGTTTTTTATTTATTCGAATAGTCTAGCAGTTTAAACTTTCAAACGGCTAGTTTTTTGAATATTTTTCATCCCTATCCACTCCCTAACTTCTATAAACTCCCTTGTCTCGTTATTAATGTAGAGAACACACATAACACATATCATAACATATCCCTTGAATATCCAAAGAGATTCTATTCAATCCTCTTCTAATATCCAAACAAGACAATTGTTTTGATTGCTAAATCGTTTCTTGCTTGAGTTTATCCTCATTGCTTGAGTCTTTAAGAAATTTTGCCATATTCTATAGGACTTCATTCTATTTGCAGCAATCTACTCCGTGTTGGGAGAATTATTCCGATGTGGTTTGTGTCCTTACTTTTTGTAAGGGAGTTGTATTCTTGGTGTTGGAATTACACCAAGTGGTAGAAATCCTAACGGTTTGTGAAATCAAATGTTTGGTGGAAAAAATCCTGAGTCTGGTGAAATCAAGGCTTCGGTGGTAGGATAAGAGGCTTGTGAAATCAAGTTCTCGAGTTGTATCCGGATTGTCAAACTCTGTTAAGTTTGACGGGTTAGTGAAGGCTCATGCACGTTTGCTTCGGTGACTGGATGTAGGCATTTAGGTCGAACAAGGTTATATCATGTGTTCACTGCTTTTATCATTCACTTAATTTTGTTTGTGGTTCGTTGGTTGAGTATTTTTCAAGAACGCTTCCACGTGAAAAACCCGTCATTCGGGCAACACCTCTATTCACCCCCCTCTAGAGGTGTGCAAGGCGTCTAACAAGTTCTGCAAGTCACTCAACTACGAGCACAATATTAAGCTTTTACAATAAGGAGCTTTCCCAATATTGTCCTCCATTTCAAATTATTCTTGTATTGGTCCTCTATATTAGAGTACTACTTCATAGTAAGTCATTTGTGCACTACATGGAAAAATATTATTCTCTTCATGTTTCTCTATAGTTGCGAACTTTTTTATATGTAATAGTTTTTCAAATATAAAGACCACAAAGAGAATAATTTAGACTAGAAGACTATTTTAGGAAATCTCCTATTATAAATGAACATCTAGAGAATTTACTCTTAATTTATTGTTACACTCTATTATTGAAGAACACAAGTGATAAATCCAACTACTATGGAAAGAAACTTTGAAAAGCATCAAAGTCCATTCACCGCACCCCTTTGGACTTTGCTTACCACATCAAATGGGACAAATAGTAATTGACGTTAAAGGGGAATCTCTTTTCAAAGATTAAAATTGTTTGATATGTGAAAACAAAATTGGGTTATGGCTGTCAGACGCAGTCCGATCGATTGTCTCCAATCCACAATCTAGATCTTAGATTCTACAAATAAATTCTATAAATTTTTTCTCTTCATACCAATTTTCTTAAATTTCATAAAATCAAATGAATATACGAGTTTTTTTTGTTTGTTTGTGAGGAAGCTAGTATAGTGGAGTTGTGGACTAGTAGTATTCTTTATATATATAAAGCAGAGTCGGAGCTGCAGGAATGCGACATTTGGCGGAGCTGTAGCGGGACATGTGGCGAGGCTGATGTGTCATTTTTTTAAGAAAACAAAAATGATGTGGAAGGTGAGGTGGCATGGAACCTAAACCAAAAAGGAAAAAAAGAAGAAATCACGCAGATCCAAAAAAAAGAAAACTAAGTCTTCCGTTTCTTCGCTGGAGAGAGTCACACGCTGCTTTCCTTTTCTTCTCCGAAATTCCTTCATCATCTCATTTCCTTTTCTGGGCAAAATCAAACACAAATTAGCAAAGAGATTATAAATTATGAAGATTTCATTCCATAACAACTACGAACCCAACGATTCTTTGGGATTATAATCGTTGAATAATTTCGGCGTATCAATGGTAGCTAATAACAAACAATATATTTTAAAAACCACATTAAACGATATATAAAATAAGAGATGACTAAACTATAAATATATTACAATAGAAAAAAAATATATACATAATTTAATAGTTCGAGTATATTGATTTTATGATTTGACTTTATTACTATAAAATTTATGGTTTAAATTACTTAGATTATTTACGATTTAAATTGAAAAATATAATATTTTTTTAAAATCTTATATAATATGATATTTTTAATTAAATTATAATTAAAAATTCATAAACAAATGTATTACCAAGGCATAGTATGTTTACACTAATGTTCTTTATGATTACAACATTCTTTAGTATATTCAATTATGGAATATAATTTTCAAATTATATATTTTTTCACAACTTTTATAATAAAACTGTCAATGAATAACTGAGATTTTCTTCCTTAAAAAGAGATACTTTGATAACATCTAAGAAGCCATATTTTTTATGACATGCTCAAATGAAGTTGATTTTGATTTTATCTAATAAAATATTGATATAAAATAAAATATAAAAATATAATTTAATCTCTACATTAAAATACTACAAACAACTAGACTATTTTTAAAATGATCAAATATTTAAATTAAATAAACTTAAAAAAGGAGTAATTTTGTATTCAAATGAAAAGAAAAAATAGAAAAACCAACTATCATTCTATCAATAGTATCAAATATGTTTGTAAATTTCTATTCAAAATCATAGGATCGCTAATATTTTTTATATTATTTTTTTAAATAATGCTAATGAATAGAATCATTGGATTTTTAATTATTTTTTATTTTTATTTTTTGAATCGTTGGATTGCTAATATAAGATTTTATTTTTGACTTGTGCTGAGGGAGAAGAATCTTTCCGATACTTTTTAATCAATACGAGAGAGGAAAATCATAATAGTGCGAGAGAGATGATTAATATTTATTTTGATAATCAAAATTAATGCAGTGATGCAAAATTCAAGAATCATACTCTTTGAATCATAATTATTGCGACGAGAATAATAATAGAGCCACAATATATTTTGTAATTAATCTGTAGAAAGAAAAATAATATTCTTTAATCATTATGAGGGAGGAGAATCATATTAATGCGAAAGATGAATCAATTTTATTTGATAATCTAAACTAAAGTGGGGAGAATCATATTTTTGTCTATGAATGGCGGTTGTATAATGTCTATGTTAAGATTAATGTGGATGCTTCGACGCGATTGGCCGATAGGGTCTCGGGTTTTGATTTTATTGCTCGAAACTGTCAACGGCTTTAATTACTGCACATAATTTACATTGTAAATGATATTTTAGACCTAGAGAAGCGGAGGTAATTGAAGTAAATGCGGCTTTATGCTAGATCAAGAACAAAGATTGGAGGCATATCATTGTGGAAACATATTGCAACGAAGTGTTTGATGCTCTTAATAATCCCACCAATATTATTATTTAGTGAGTGAGAAAAAAAGTTAGGTTGAAATTATAAGTTTTAGATGTTTTTGGCAGTCCTTATAAATCATACAAAAATGTTACTCCCTTTGTCCTTGATTATTTCTCCAGTTTTGACTTTTTTCGGTCAACTGTTTTCACTCTTTGACCTATAATAAAATTATATATATATATATATATATATATATATTGTTTATTAATTATATAAAACAATATTTTAAAAAATATTTGATATAATAAATCTAATAACACTATTTTTCGTATCAATATCTAATATCATTTTTATTTAATTTGAAGTCAAAGTTTACCAATATTGACCGAAAAAATCAAAAATGGACAAATACTCATGAACTAAGGGAGTATATACCTTAATTTTTTAAAATGTTTTAATTTAAATAAGAGCCTGACATGCTAAATTTCAAATATATATATATATATATATATATATATATATATATATATATATATATATATACAATATAATTTTCATTAGCAAATATAATACTCCCTCCCGCGCCACAAAACATTTCTCCTTTCTTTTTTCATTTGTCCCAAAAAAACCTTTCTCATTTCAATTAAAAAAAATCACTTTTAGCTCAACTAATTCTTAACATGTCTTTCACATCACATTTTTTCACTATTAATTTATTCAACACCAAAATATACTCTCCTTATACCTTTTCAAAGTCAAAAGGAGAAAGGTTTTGTGGGACGGATGGAGTATATTTTATCACATGTTAACTTTTAAGGTTGATGTTTTATTTTTTTTGATTTTATAAAAATGTTGTAGCGAAGAAAAATCAAAAATTCAAAACAAAAAATTCATTCCACCCCGTGCATGGCACGGGTAGAAATACTAGTATATATATATATATGTAAAAGAGAGTTACACACTTGTGGTAATGACACGTGTCATGCCACACATGCATACTACTGACATGTGTCATGCCACACATGCATACTACTGACATTGTCATGCCACATGTAAATCACAAGACACATGTCACTCCACACATGCATATTTAATTTTGCATTAAATTATTATTTTTTTATATTTTATAAACCCTTCACTTTCCAACAATAAAAAACCCTTATTTTAATTCTTTTTTTAATTAAATTTTCACCTCTTAACTATTTTAGAAATATTTTTTTTAAATATGCGTGACAATTTTATAATATTAAAAAAATTATATAAAATTTATTAATTAAGAAAAAAATGTTTCTTATAATTTTTAAAATTATCCAACATCTCAAAGAAACTATTATATATAAATTTTATCACACATGCATCTTTAATAACTTCATAATATATTTCAATTTTTTGTCTTATTTTATTATATATTTTTTAGCAAACTAAACAAAGTGAAAGTTTAAATGATGGATTACATGTGGCACATGACAGATATGCATTCTCTAATGATGTGTCATTACTTAATTGATTTATTTGACATTTTTATATTAATTTTTTTTAATTAAAACAATTTTCATTATTATTTTATTTGATAACAATTACATTTGTATGAAATCTTTAGGTCACGTGTGCATTACACCTCAGCCTGTGTCATGCCACATTTATATATTTATTATTATTAAAGTTATGAAACACCTTCACTTTTGTACATTAAATAACTTTTATTTTTATTATATTTTTATAAACCCTTCACTTTCTTGCACTAAATAACCATTATTATTGAGCAAATATTTATTGTTATTAAATTTTCAAAGCAGTATTATAACATTTTTATCACATATAAATATTTATTAAATACAAAATTAGTTTAAACTTTTTATCCTATTGCATACTACGAAGTATATTTTAGTATATGGTGTATATTTTTTTCAACAAACTAAACAAAACAAAGTTAGAGTTTATAGATGATACGCGTTGTATGTCATATATGTATTTTCTCATTATGTGTCATTACTTAATTGATTCATTTCAAATTTGTTATTTTAATTTTTTAATTATAAATTATTTCTTTATTATTTTTTTCAGTGATCATTTAGTTTGTATAAAACTTTTCACATCACGTGTGCACCCCATGCCACATGTGATACCACAAGTGATGTCATAAATGCATATTTATTTTTGTTAGGTTTTTAAAAACTTCATATATCATATTAAAAAATTAAAATAGATAATATTTTATTTTTTAGATGTCAAATATATAAAACAATCCACCATTTATTTATTTTCTATTGTTATTTTACCAAATCACTATATTTGATTAACTATATATTTACTAACTATATACTGTATTTTATTTCAAAATGTTTTATCTGTAACACTATTTAATTTTCTATATATCATTTCAACAAATTAAAATAAATTAATTTGTTTTTCTTGAAGTATAACACATGGCATATAGGCCATATACCGCATATATATGTATTTTTCAATTATTTATCATTACCTTAATTTATTTGGCATTTATATTTTATTTTTAATTAGTTAAATCAATTTTCATTAGTATATCATTTAATAACAGTTTGATATTTTTGGTCGAGTTGCTTTATACTTTGACGGCAAAGTGTGTAAATTTATAAAAATTGTGTCCATTTAAAATATTGTTTTCATAAATCAAAATTTTATGATATTTAATTATTTAAAATTATATTTAATTTGTAATAAAAATGTTACATAGTTTTACCAAAAAAGTCTAACAATGATAATCTTAATTAATAGACACGTGAACACATCCCAAGCTCGTAAGCACGGGGTAGAAAACTAGTTGTGTATATATAGAAGAGATTCACTTGATTTTCAGGTTTATGTTTCTCAGAATGGAGGGTACCGTTTTCCCGAATAAGCCAATATTGCCGGTTCTATCAACAAAGTCTGTTCCTCTTCCGCCATCCAACCAACGCCACATATCGACAACCACAACTCTTCCTCTTCCTCCCCTACAGAACCAGAAATTCCATTCTCCGCCTGCGTTTCTACTCGACTCTCTTCTTCAGCACCTTCACGAGACCCACCCTCTGCATAACCGGGAAACACGAGATGCTCTATCTCAGAAACGGAGTCTCAATCGGATTCCAGTTCCCCGAGCCCGAAGTTACTGTCCGGATGTGTTTCTTCCCAGAACTTCGGATGATGCGTCGCTGGATTTCCTCCCGCAGAATTGTAAGTCCATACTCAATTCAATTCTTAAACAACCCCAGTCGGCTCTGCTCGCGTTTTTTAATTCTGCAAAACCGGAGTTGCTTGAAGTTGATTTGATGAGTCTTGTGAAAGGTTTGGACCTTTCTGGAAATTGGGATAGAGCCATCTTGTTGTTTGAATGGATTATTCTGAATTCCAATGCTGATAGCAAAATGCTAGACAGTCAGGTTATTGAATTTATGGTCAGGGTTTTGGGGAGAGAATCGCAGCACTTGTTAGCATCAAATCTCTTTGATGTGATTACATTTAAGGATTATTCATTTGATGTTCGAGCATGGACAAGTGTTCTTCATGCCTATTCTAGGAGCGCAAAGTATGATAAGGCCATAGCCATGTTCAAATATATTAAGGAAAGAGGTTTATCACCTAATTTAGTTATGTACAATGTTATGCTTGATGTTTATGGTAGAAAGGGTGGGTCGTGGAATATGATTTTAAGCATTCTAGATGAGATGAGGAGTAATGGACTTGCTTTTGATGAGTTCACTTGCAGCACTGTTATATCTGCGTGTGCTAGGGAGGGATTGTTTGAAGAAGCAAAGAAGTTTTTTGATGGAATGAAATTACAGGGCTATGTTCCAGGAATAGTTACATACAATTCCTTACTTCATGTTTATGCGAAGGCTGGGAAGTACATTGAAGCTCTGGGTGTGCTTGAAGAAATGGAGGGAAACAATTGCCCACCCGATTCAGTGACATATAATGAGCTCGTAGCAGCTTATGTGAGGGCAGGTCTCCTGGAAGAAGGTTTTGCACTCATACACACTATGTCGGAGAAGGGTATAATGCCTAATGCCATCACATATACAACAGTGATAGATGCTTATGGTAAAGCTGGAAAAGATGAAATGGTCATTGACTTGCTGAAAACGATGAAATGGTCTGGATGTGTCCCTAATGTTTATACATATAATTCAATCATTGCAATGCTGGGCAAGAAATCCCGAATGGAAGAGATATTGGATATACTATGTGATATGAAGCTAAATGGTTGTGCCCCTAATCGCATTACTTGGAACACAGTGCTTGCAATGTGTGGGCATAGTGGAATGCAGAACTATGTGAATCATGTTTTCCGCGAGATGAAGAGATGTGGCTTTGAGCCCGACAGGGACACATTTAATACCTTGATTTGTGCATATGCTAGGTGTGGATCAGACTTAAATGCAGGTAAAATGTATGATGAGATGATCAAAGCTGGATTTACACCTTCTATCACTACGTATAATGCCTTTCTGAATGCCCTTGCTCATAGGGGTGATTGGAGAGCTGCTGAGTCTATATTATTGGACATGAAAAACAAAGGGTTCAAGCCCAGCGAAACTACTTATTCTTTGATGCTTCAATGCTACTCAAAGGGAAGCAATGCTAGAGGCGTGGAAAGGATTGCAAAACAAGTTTACGATGGACACATCTCTCCTAGTTGGATGCTCTTGAGAAATCTCGTTCTTGCAAATGTTAAGTGTCGATCTGTCAAAGGTATGGAGAGAGCGATACAAGAATTTCAGAAGAATGGGTACAGACCTGATTTGGTTATATATAATTCCATGCTTTCCTTATTTGCAAAAAATGTCATGTCTAGCCGTGCAAATGAAGTAATGCAATTGATTCAAGAGATTGGTCTGCAGCCAGATCTGTTAACCTTTAATACCTTAATTGATCTTTATGCAAGAGCTGGTGACTGTTGGAAAGCAGAAGACATCCTAAATCGGCTCGGGGAAATTGGTGAAAAACCAGATCGCGTGTCATATAATACGGCCATCAAAGGTTTTTGTAGACAAGGGCTTATGCAGGATGCTGCAAGACTTTTCTCCATAATGACTGCTAGTGGAATTCGACCTTGTATCATCACGTACAACACACTTACTTCTGGGTATGCAGCACATGGCATGTTTGCAGAAGTAAATGAACTTATCAGCTACATGATTCAGAACAACTGCAGGCCCAATGAGCTTACATATAAAACGGTTGTAAAAGGATACTGTAAAGCAAGAAGGTATCAGGATGCGATGGACTTCATATCGGCAATTAGGGAAAAGGACATTTCTTTTCATGAGCAATCTCTGCAAAGACTTGCTGCTCAGGTAAGAGATTGTACAGATTTCTGATGCTTGGAAACACTCATATAGCAACTGCTTGTAACTTGTAACATCTCTCATTCAGGCCAGGGAGAAGCTTTGAACTTGTCACTTCACAAGCTCCTTTCTCTATGTCCTTTGTTCAGCTTATTGTTATCGCATTTACTGTACTTCCAAATGCAAATATCCTTAATAAGTATTTCGTCTCTACTTGGCACCTATTCCCTTCTCCCAAAAGTTTTTTCATCCATCCACAAAGAATTTTCACATTTTATTTTTCCTCTTTTCAAAAAAAGAATATATCTGTTTAGCATTTTTTTTATCTCGGTGAAGTCAAAGTGAGGATACTAATTTGACATAAGAGTATAGTTATTCACTTATTCGTCTAATCCCAATTTCACAATAGAAACACTTAGCTTGTTCATATTTTGCCTCTATAAAAAAGTGGCGTTTTAGAAAATTAAAATGTTCCTGAATAAGCACATCAGTCTAAAATACCAAGAGAAGATTTGACTTGTTTGGGATCAACTTTTTCAATTAGTGTTAGCATTTAAGATAAAATTTTAATAGCGTAAATTAATTTTAAAATGTAACAACTATATAATGTCATTACATAGTCTTTTCAAAATGCAAATGCTAAACGTTGAACTTCTTTCCGAATATGCACGTAATTGCTCATTTGTAGTAATTACACTGTGTAACACCCTAATCTTCCAGGTCTGCAGCTCCTTTTGGGTTAAAGTATTAACTTGGTAACTTCAAAATTTCAAAATACTAGTATTTTAACCCGTGCAACGCAGGGGGTTGGATGAAATTTTTGACACTTTTGTAAATTAACTTCAATGCAATATTTTAAATTGAATTTATGAATATATATATAATATGTTTTTTATTACTATAGACATTAAAAACAAAATAAAATAAATAATTTAGTATTAAATATTTGGTAATGAAAATTCTTATAAGCAAATTCAAAAGTGAACATCTCAAAGATTTTCTAAATTTATATTTTGAAAGACTTTTGGGTATACAACAATTTTGGTGTAGTTGCAAGGATTTTTGTTATCATCTAGAACTAATATTTTCAATTATACCTTTCTTTTTACTCGTGAAAAAGCACCGCAAAGTTGATCATAAGTGAACACTGAATTGATTAAAAATAATCCAACAAATGATAATGTTTGACTTTGACTTTGTTAAAAGTCATAGCAAAACATAAAACATTGGGAATTGTTTTTTCTGAAACTTTAAAAGTAATCGTGGATCAGATGGTATGAAATTCATTCTAGGTATGTAGACTTTTTTCTTGACTCGTTTTTTCGAAACTACAATTGCACCGGTAACATTATTTTGTAGCTCTTCAACGATTAGTCTTGTCTCGTCACACAATTCAGATATTTGGTCAATGTTTCTCAATAGCATATATAATTGGTAGCCCTTTTTTTCAAAACTATTTTATGGCTTGAGATTCTCGAATATTTGATTTCATTTTAAAATCAATTGTTATTCAATCGCCATCAACACCTACATCTCCATTTCCTTCGCATGAAGAATCTGAATTCAAGTACTCCTTTTCATCATCACGAATGAGAGATATGACAAATTTTATATATCATTTCAACTACCTCGAGAGTTGGGCTAATAGTGTCCAATCCTTAAAAAAGAATAATTGTTCATATTCTCTTATATGTTTGGATAAGTGAAGTCAATGTATTATACTCTTGATAAGATAACTTTTGTCAAAAATAAAAAATTTAGGGGGATGTCAACATCAATAACTCCATCAATTACCTCACATAGCTTTCAATCTCTGAATTTAATTTTCCAATAAAAAAAGCACGTGTGTCCCTATCTGCGCAATAGAAAGTAGATGAATGTAGTCTCATATTTTTAGTCAACATAAAAACTTTACAAATTGACCATAATATTAAAGATTTGACTGTAGCACCTACAATTTACAAATTGACCACAATGATTGCTACCGTAAATGCATTTTAACTCCTATTTCAGGAATTAAAAAATGGAACTCCTATTTTGTTATATTTTCAATTTTTACTCCAACTTTAGCCTTTTCCCTATCTTCCACAGGCCTTCATTCATTATAGATTAATATCAGCTAAAATCAGATAATAACTTTTCTTTATCATAGTTCAACTCCTCTACCAAGAAATTATTTTCAAATTTGTTAAGTGGGTTGTCGTCTCGGAATGACATACCACTGAAATTCTTCAAAGGTCGTCCATTTGAATTAGACATTCTCTCAATTTTAATCAATCACAAATTCTTTACATCTCCTAGGGAAATAAGTTCTACAAAAAATAGTTAAAATATGACTAAATTTATTATACTCATATCTCAATTCTAGAGTTTTGTATATGCACCGACCATGCATGCATTTCATATTGATATTGATTAAAAAATAAAACTATATTTTTCTAAAAACACATTGATAATGCAATATTCTTCTTCGGTCAAATAAACCTCGTCAACTAAGTGCTTCTATGATTTTTCCCAAATAACTTGAGAGCGACTCATGGTATTTGTCATTAATATTGTGACAAAGAATTTTTTTAGCTCACTCCCGGATCCTAGCTCTACAACATCTTCTATGCCTTCAATAAAATTTTAATCATCGCTAGTAACCTCAATCCTTTGCATGCATCCTTGAATGTGTTGTGTACATCATTGTTAACTGTCTTCAAGCTTTGAGAGCTTGTACATCCCTGTTGGACCATTAAAAATACTCTCAAGTAAAATAACTCTCTAGTTCCTGTTGACACATATTGCAGACGGCCTATTGATAGTGTTTGTTGACTCGGGAACCATAGCAAAATTATAGTCACCAACATATTTTGTTTGATTTAGTTATTACAAAAATTCTAACACACTTGCATTAGGATACCATATAAAAAAGACGGATGCATTAAAAGTCTAACATAACAATTTTACACTTTAACTACACATAAATTTTATGTAACCTACGAATGATGTTTACGTTTTTTACACATGCATGTTGAATTGCTAAAATAAAATAATAATAATAAAAATACGCACCTTTTTGTGTCTTTTTTGTTGAAGTATTTCTTTTTCTCCTTTTTCTTGCATCTCTAGTTGATCTCGTTTGTCTCTCGTCAAGTTGGACCGAAAGATGAAGTTTAAATACTGATTCTATCCTTTTTTATCACAATATTGATCCTCTGATAGAATTTTTGGATGGGGTAAGGACAACTGGATTTGGGTAATAAGACACTTGGGTTGAACCATATTAAAAGATTGAATCCAATCGATTAGTTAGTTCAACTCAAAAGCTTATATACCGATTATTTTGCTCTTGAACTTCCGATGTGGGATGACACTCTAACATCCTCTTTGATCACGTATGTATTTAGACTTGAATGTGGGTGGTGGATGACACATTCCTTAAATTGTATTTGAACATTTTGTGATAAAATTTCAGGGGTATTAGTTTTTTCCATTAAATTGACTCTAAAATTGAATAATATAAGTAAAAAGTTCATTTAAAAGGGAAGTAATATCGTATATTACTATATCTAACATTTTATTAAATTTATAAGATTTAGCATTCAAAAAAAAGAGCTCAAGTAATATTGAAAATTACTATATTTAACGTATTATTAAAATCATAAGATTTAGGTTACAAAAAATATCATATTCTCCAATTCTTTTTTAACAACTTCAAGCGTGAATATTAATAGATCTCTAATTTTTAATCTCTAACCAAAATTATATAGTTAATTTGTTTTGGTTTTTTTATTTATTTTTTTGTTTCAAAACTATAATTAATTAAAAGGGTAATGTTATTTTGGTTTCTAATTTTTTAAATAATATTTACATTGGTTTATGTATTTTAAAATTAATTTATATTAGTAGTTTAAGTTAATTATTTATTGGGAAAAGTCTATAAAAGGTACGCAAGTTCTTAATGTATCCGTGCTAAAAGGTAATACATTAAAAGGAGAAAAAAAATGTTATAAATGAAAAAAATAATGCTTCTTTATTATATATCACATGCCTTATTTATGCATTGATACACACGCTTTTAAATGCACACACATTTTTAGTAACTTTAATTTGGAAAATGTATTTTTTTAACATTTTCTTGCCATTTAAAATATGAAATTTGAGTAATACTCTATGGTCCGTTTCATTTAGAATAAGGATCAATTGGACATATATACTCTTATCATAACTAAGTTATATTAAACTCCGTATAATAGAGAATAATTATATAACATCCTCAATATAATTATATTCTATAGAAGTTGATTTTAAAATTTTTTGTCAGTCACAAATAAGAATTTAAGTTTTCACAAAATTCTTCCATAATACTTTTTTCGTCTAGATTTAATCTTCTAATTTTATTTTATTGGTCAAATTTTATAAATATTAACCTCGATATCTGAAAAGAATAAATTTTGTTTTTTTATAAATGTAATGCCAATAATTGTTTTTTGAAATGTTGTTTTGAAATATGAATTTTTCATAGGATATGATAAGCATAAATATCGCTACAAATCAAGTGAGATGATTAAATATACTCATATAATGAGGAGTCTTTTAGTTATTATTTTTTCAAGAGAGGTAGCGACCAAAACCTTTTTTTGTTTGGCATAAGACCACTAACCTAAATATAAAATTACTCCGTAAAAAATTTATTCAGAAAAATATATGCATGCATAACAAATTATTCTATAAAAATGAATGACTCTAAGTCAATTTCTTATGCAAAATATAATTTTGTATATAAAAATAAGAAGTATTTTTTATCCTCAATAGGCATATATGGTACACAGACTGATATGTTTGAATAATTCTAAAAACATTATTCATTAGCTGTTTTGGTTTGCTTTGTTGTCAAATATTTCAATAAGTATATATATAAATATAGAATGAAATAAAATATAAAAATTTAGATTATAATATCCGAATAATACGTTTAATATAATATTTTTACTAATAAATTCTAAAAATTTCATTGGTCAAAGATATTACTTGAAAAACAAATTGGTGCGTTAAAAGATAATCTAGCTACTACTTCTTAAGATTAACCGCATGAAACTCATTTTGACTTTTTTGTCAAAATAGTAGCACTCTTTCATTACAAATTATGAAAAAAGTATATTTATTTTCAATATAAA